TTTCTGAAGGCTCTGAGGGCTTATCTACAAGCACAGTGAAGGACTGGCTATAAATAAAACATTAGCCAGCAATACGATGAATATCACAGCATAGAGGATCATTCAGATGAATGCCACCCCCGGAGGACTGCAATGACTAACCGGGTTGTCATCCCTACCTTCTAAAAAGTGGCAACGAGTTAGAATTTCTCGGAGAAGACTCTGTGATATCTAGGGTCTTCACTTCTGCAGGATGGGAGCTGCAAAACGATTTGGGGTGCCCAAATGCCCAGCGTCAGTCGTTTGCCTGTGAAATTAACCTGCCTGAAAATCTACACTGAACTGTAACAGTCAGCAACAAGCCATAGTGATGCATCGGCTCCTAGAGCTTTAGGGAAGATTTACGCTGCACATGAAACCTAGGCTCTGAATCGGTTGGGATGTTAAAAAGCAGCTAATTAGGTAACCGTGTAGGTGGTTATGCGGTTAGCTCTGCGCGGGGCAGCAGCTGGTTCCCCACTGTGCATTGGAAGTCAGCTTTTAAGCCAGCTCCCAGCACACACCGGCTCCCGCCTGCTGCCTGGCTCCCAGAGAGCTGGCTGCCACCCCACACTGTTGCCTCTGATACAGTGTAACCGTTGATACAAAGGCTTTTAAGCCACCTCTCGGCCCTGCTCCCAGGGAGCTGGCTGCCGCTTCATGCTCCGGGCTCTGAAACAGAGCCAGAAACACGGAGTGGTAGCTGGTACCCTGAGAAGAGCCGGCATGTAACCATTTACACAGTTTCACTGTTACATCCCTAATCCACACACAAATCAAACTGACTCCAGTCAGCCAGTTTTCAGGTCCCAGGTTCTAGGACATTACCCGGTTTGGGAGCAGGATGGGTCAGCCCAAGCCACACTGTGACTCAGGCCCAAACCATGTCACTTTGCAGTGTGGACAGAGGCGAAGCCCCACAGACCCAAGCCAGACAGTCTGCAGAGTGCACAATGGATATTAGCATGGCTGTGTGAGACCTGAACTTAGCAACTACAAGCCCAGCTTTACAAAGCAATGTGGAGGCTCAAGTCTAGTCCACAAGCCTGGATCCCACCGCAGTGTAGACACACCCAGCCCCACTGACAGGGAAGAGGGGCTTGATGGGGGAGTTTCCCTGGGGCCCAGCAATTCAAAGGGACCTGTGGATCTGGCCCTCACTGCCGCAGCAGCACCCGGAGTCTTCAGCTCTTTAAATTGCTGCTGCAGCACTGCACTATGTGCTCCATGTGGTTCTTAGGGCTGCCTGGAGAGGCGGGAATGCCATACAGCACGTTCCAGGTAGTGCTAGGGAGAGGAGACACTCCAGGTGGTGCTAAGAGCTGGCTGCCCCTTGGGCCCGCCCCTTCCACCTGAGGCCCCGCCCCTTCCACCTGAGGCCCCGCCCCTTCTGAGTTAGCTATTACCTCTCTATTGTCATATCTCCAATGACCTTAATCTAGACACTTTTTAGACAACAGCTGTAACAAGGAAGAGTCCCCTAGGAAATATCATTGTACATGCCGAGCAGCGGAAGAATACAGAGACATCGCTGAATGGCAAACTGGCATCCCAGTGA